GAGAGTCAGGCTCCTCTTCCTCCGCCTGGTCCGTTGTCTCGGGAGACAGGCCCTTCATAGTGATGCCGTCGAGGTTGAGCCCGGAGAATTTCTTCCGGACCAACCACCGACAGAGCTTAAACCCTAGAGCGGTACGAACTCGAGCCATATTCTACCTAGAGGTCGTGATATTCCTGGGAGTCCTTGAAATCCCAAACGGCCTTCTCTCGCTCGGCCTCCACCAGTTGGTCAAAATTTCGAGTTCGATCCAGAAGAGTAGACTCCAAGTCCCGCACCTGCTGTCGGAAGAGTTCCCTCTCCGCCACTACCCTCGATGACTCCTCCCTATAACGTGCGCTCTCTTCAGAAAGCCTGGCAATCTGTGCTTCCTGGTCGCGGACGAGCAGCTCCTGAGATTCACTCCACTTGTGAGTGTCATGGAGCTCGCCCCGAGTTCGATCGAGCTCGCCCTGGAGCTTCTGATTGGCAGCCCTTTGGTCGATGGCGTCGCCGCGGTGGATGCGCGCCTGGAGGGCCACAACATTGATGGCGGTATTCACCTGCCAACAAAAAAAAAAAGGATCACAGGACAACAAAAGGAAGCAAAACGAGGGAAGAAAGGAAAGAACCACTTACCACCATGCAGTGAGAGGAGGCAAACGCGGCGAGGTCCTCGGGCTCCATATCTCCCCACTTGGTGACCTCGTCGTTACAGATCGCCCTCCGGCTCTTCCGTCGAGCCACGAGGTAATTATTCATCCCCTCCTAGTTCCCCACTGGGAACTGCGGATAAGGGAATGGATGGAAAGGATTAGGGGGAATCACCCCCTGCTGTGGGAGCTCGCCCCCTTCGAAGCCAGCCCCACTAGCTCTGCCTTCGGGTGGAGGTGGCAGAATCTCAAGCGGCGGAGAGGATAAGACCGGCTCAGCAGATTTGAACTCGGTGCCCCCCGAGGTGGGAGTCCGATCGGGGCGGGACCTCTTCACTCTGCGCCTCTGGTTGCTTGAAAGGAGGCGGCGCGAGTCGATACCAGACATGATGGCTGCCAAGAAGAAACCACAAAGTATTAGTTCGGTAAGAACGAAGTATATGTATATGACCACAATGTTATGACAAGTACTACGCGACCTAAAAAGACAACCTACCCGGGCTCAAGCCGGCCTGCACGAGCTTCTCCTTAGTCAAGTAGTCCGAGCAGAAGAAGCCTATTGATGCCCAGGACAACATCATTTTTTTGAGTATCAGGGTCCAGCTCGACCCCAAAGTCCTGGATGGTGCCCCTCCAAGAAGTAGGGAAGGGCCACCCTTCAGGGTTGCAGACCCAAAAATAATCCCGCTTCCAGGCAGGAATTTTATTCGGAAGCTCATGTAAGAGCATGTAGCCATGACGGGGAGAGAAGTAGTAGAGACGCCTCTCCGATGGAGCCCCGGGGGTGGCATTCTTTATACAAAGGATAGCAGAAAAAATGTCGAGGTTTAAGGGAAGACAGTATTCACAACACAAGGATATAGTCCTAATCATGTTCTGAATGGCATTGGGATGAAGCTGATCGATGGTGACGTTAAAATGGTTTAGCACCTCCACTATCAAGGGGTGCAGGGGGAGACGCAGGCCAGCCTCGAGCTGCTCTTGGAAAATGACTATCTCATTGGGACCATGCTCCCACGAAAAGTTATCAGTGGGAAGGCAGTAGATGAGGTCCCTGGGAAGGTGGAAATAGCTAATTAGAGACCTAAGTCTCCCCTCTGTCATGTAGGAAGGGCCGAAAGTATCAGGCTCCCTTCCCCGGGAAGTGGAGGCTCCATCACCGGAGGTCTCTCGGGCCCCTGGAACCTGTTCCCAAGCTCCCCCTAAGCTCGAGGGAGCATCATCGCCTTGGTCACCGCCCCGATGACGAGTATGGTACGGGTACCCAGACATGACTGACAGTAAGCGAGACTCACCAAAAGGGACGGGATGAAGTGAATTGAGAAACTCAAGTAGACTTGATGGATGCGCGACCTTAGAATCCGAAGACAGCAAGATGGCGTGGGGGAAAATGAGACCCAGAGGGCCCCCCTATTTATAGCTTCCACGCCTCCGAATCAACGACCCAGATTAAAGCAGATCCAATAGTTCGCAGGCGTACTGAGCGCACACCTTCTAAAAACCGAAAAGCGATTGGCTGCACGTCTCCCATGATTAAGGTAATGACGCCTACACAACATCCGGAGTTAAGAGACAATTCTACACGTTTTCGGAATTCGAAAAGTCAGAAAAGATCCTGATTCCCACGGACGCATTTAATGTGAGTAGTCAATCAAGTTTGAATTTCGATCAAATCAGTCCATCATACTTCATGAACTCCTCGCGCTAAGGCAACGCTCTCAACTCAAGGAGTGGGGGGCAATTGATGGAGGATGATTTGGCCCGATCTACGAAACTATGACACGTGGACCTGACTCAGCACGAGTAACAGCTCAACATCATGGCCTGGTACGACCAAGTAACGAGCCCATAAAGCAGCTCGTTGTATCGTAGCTCGCTACAACAAGAGCTCCGAGTTCCCCGAACTACCCCGAAGGGGATATTCCGAAGCAACTTTAGCTCGTGAGCTAGAGAAACCAGCTCGCCCGAGCCCCCAAGCAGATAAGTCATCTCAGGGACCAATTCTACTAAGGGTAACCCTGAAGTATTCCCAAGCTCACTACAAAGTAGCTCGCGAGTGAGCAGCGCGAGCATTCCTCATGAAGCTTCTATCTGACAGGTCGTACCGATCAAACTGCGCCACGTCCCTTGGCTGACGGTGCAGTCCCTGTCCTTTCGACAGTCTGCACCCACGTCTCTCAGCAGGCGGAGGCACGCCTGCCCTTTGAAGACATGTCACTCACCCGGACAAGGAGTACGTTACAACGGCCACCTGCGCAGCCCGAGTAGGTAACGGCTGTGGCAGGGGTCCAGTGGCGGTTACGCCCAATCTGACAAGAACGCCCCTATAAAAGCCTTCAAGGCAGAAGAGAAAAGGGATCTTCAAACTTTTGAATACATTGGCTCTCTCATACTCAAAACCGAATACATCTTTGCTCGCGAGCTAACCTCTCGAGTACAATGATAAAGCGCGACCTACACTCTTCTTTTCTCTTTCCCCTGTGTTCTGACTTAAGCATCATAGTATTCCCACCGGGTAAATTCCCAGAAATCCTTCATTTCTATCTTCTTAGATACTGTCCGTCACCAACAAGAAACCAGTCAACAAACAACTAGGAATCCCTGGATCATACTGCATCAGGTTTCTTGGTTAATGAGAATCAAATCCCATTGACCAAAGGTATGGTAATCATTCAATATCGAACGTATCAATACTCTTAACCATTCTCACTCTGAAGGTATGGTAATCTTAAAAGGAAAAAAAATTACAAAGGTAGGATATAGCCCGCCTTACCCCATCATCCAGTTTCTCTGGATTATTGAGTTGTTCAATAAGGATGAGAGGGGGCTTTCCTCGAGGTTTTGGATAAAATACAAAAAACCTCAACTAAGTTCCATCCTGATTCTCAAACATGGAATATCAAAGAAATCAACAGTTAAACTTTGACGAAATGGGAGGAAAAACCAATGCCAAAAAAATGTCCCCTAGTACAAAAGAGAGATTGAAATAATACTGTTGGCCTCTCAGAAGACTTCCTCACTAAACCTTTAAATCTTTGCAACAGGGGAATACAACTGTAGTTCCGAAAGTGTGGGTGGCTGGGAGAAACCAAATAGAGCTAAAAGATCAAAATATTTAAAAAATGAAAAATAGTGAAAAGTTAAAGAAAAAAGTGACATTCAATTCTTGCAATAATTTGAAAAAAATCATCTCAAATTTTTATTCAATATGAATAATCAATTCATACAATAAAAATATAAAATAAACAAATAAAATCGAAAAAAAATACAATAACATTAAAAAATTCTATGATAAAATGATTAATGACGTGCCCAGCCGTGCTTGAGCCGAGTCACAGGCCCGCATGGCTCGTGAGCCGAAAACCCTTGGCCCTGCCTGACCCCAGGGCCCAGGGGTCGTGCAGTGCCTGCCACAGAACATCACCGTTTTACACCTATGTTTTTATTAAACTTTCATCTAAATCAATTCTGATCCCACGGAGTATCCCATTCCCATCTTTTTCTCTTTGGCTTTGGGCTTTGGGCTTTGGGCTTGGAGTGGACGTCAGAACCAGGACGACCATCATCTCAAGATGAAAGACACCCTTCACCACATCTACGCGCCGTAGCAACTGAAGGGTGGGCCCAGCACAAACTCAGCTATCAAAATAGTGGGTCCATCGCCCACATCCCGGCAGACAGATGCTTTGTACAATCCACAAACGTTTAATACTTTATGATACGAAGATCCTTACACGATTACATCCATCAGCTACGAAGAATGGGTCCCACGCAAGTAACGTTGGATCAAGTATTCCAAACCCACAGGATAGAGATCCCACGGATGGGACCCGTCTGCTGTGATGTGACGGGTCCCACTGATCCGATACGGCGATCGGCTAGTGGACATCGAGTTATAACGCAGTTTGCTTCCATGAACTGTAATTTCCAATAATAACCTCGTAACAAAGCATAATCACAGCCCTCCAGAGAAGATAATCACAAAACGCAATGATTACATACCAAGTACCAGGGACCGTATCAAGATATCCACTACCCCGAACCCCTTTCTCGCTTCTCAATGCTCGTAAATTCCTGTCCTCTCAATAATCAGACTTCAGGGTTCAGAATGGAAAGAAGCCAAGGCATTCTCGGCAATTCACACAAAACCCAAGGCCATTATCGTCAAACAGTAAAACTCATTATCCCGCCGAATAGAGAGAGAGAAATCCCCCGAGTGACAGAAAAAAAGCGTATTAACCACGTGACAAGAGTGGCATCCACCCTTCGAAAACGACCTGACGCTCTCTCTCTCTCTCTCTCTAAACGCACAACGGCACAAGCACAATCTCTCTCTCTCTCCTCTCACGAAAAATGGTCAAACAGTCAAACTGAAAAACAAGACCTATCATCCTTTGCACTTCCTTGTTTTGCTTTCAACAACTCCTCTGTCTCGCGTACAAAATACAACCTTGATCTGAGAGCTTCAACCCTCGTACACTCTGTACTTGGGTGGGGCAAAACACACCTGATCTCATTCTCCACTCACTATGCATGCCCCTATACAATGCCGCAGTGCGCAATACGCACCCCACCCACCGCAACTTAAAATTCTATCTATTTACACAAAAAAAACCCAAAAAAAATAACCTTCTAATTTTTGTTTCTCTCAAAAAATTAAAGAAAACCCCGAAAAAGAAAAAGAAAAGAATTAATAGTAACTATTAATCTACGCTTAAGCCCTTAATCATCTTGGACCAGAGAGCTCCATGGCATGGACGTCCAAGGAATGCTCATCATCATCGTCCATCATGGCCGTTAACATGCTTGCATCATCATGTCTTGAGATAATAGAGTGTGCTGCAGCTTCAATACAAGCCATTCCGTTGTTATCGTTGGATAGAGAGCAACCCTTGATTTGTTGATTATTATTAGAGTCATGATGATGGGCCTGTGAGGCCTCCCATTTCTCGGCCAGCCCATCGCCTTCCAGCATTCGGACCACCTCAGACATCTTGGGTCGGTGGGCCGGAAGGTATTGAGTGCAGAGAAGCGCCACTTGAACCATCTCCCCTACCTCTATTCTGTCGTAGTTGCTCCTCAAATCCTTGTCCACCAGCATCTCCACCCTCTTCTCCTGCTGTATTTTCTTCACCTGCCACCCATTTTACACCATTAATCCCTCTTTCCAGCCCTCCTTTTAAGGGTGTTTTTGTCAAATTATAAAGGTATTTAATGGTATTTTCGTGATTTTCTTTAATTCAGAGTTGACCACTACTAGATGGACGGTTAAGATCAGCCAAAAGTGGGGCCATCAGAGAGGAATAGAATCTTACCCATTCAAGCATGGCGCCCTTCTGATTAACGGCTTTACCGAACTCAAGTGCTCTCATACCGGTAATGAGCTCCAGCAGTAGAATACCGAATCCAAACACGTCAGTCTTCTCCGACGACTGTCCCGTCGATAGGTACTCCGGTGCAATGTGACCGACGGTGCCACGGACGGCGGTGGTGACGTGAGAGTCGGCATGGTCGAGAAGCTTAGCCAGGCCGAAGTCACCGACAATGGCTTCACAGTAGTCGTCCAGAAGCACGTTAGCGGCCTTCACGTCTCTGTGAATTATCTTGGGGTCGCACTGCTCGTGCAGATAAAGAAGGCCCCTCGCGGCTCCCAGAGCTATTCTCTTTCTGGTATTCCAGTCCAGTGCAGGTTTAGCTGGAACAGCAAATCGCACGGGGAAGATCACTATAATGCGGAGGAGCAGTAGCATACAGTAGTAGTACTGGGTACGGACTACAGTGAACAGACTGCGGTTACAGAGTTACAGACCTCTGAGACGAGCAGCGACGCTGCCGTTTGACATGTAAGGGTAGACAAGGAGTCTCTCGTTGGAGGTGGCGCAGTAACCAAGCAACCTCAGCAGGTTGCGGTGCACGGCGAGGCTTATCATCTCCACCTCCGTCTTGAACTGCAACTCTCCGGAGGTGCCGCTGACGTCCTTGAGCCTTTTCACGGCAACCATAGTACCGTCTGATAGCTTTCCTTTGTAGACGTTCCCGAACCCTCCTTTGCCCAGAATGTTCTTCGGGCTGAAGTTGTCCGTAGCTGCTTGGAGCTCCCTCAGCGTGAACTGTCTCAGATTGCCGAGGCTTATCAAACCGGCTTCTTGTTTGTCTGTGGTAGAAAACCAAATGAGCTCAAAAGTTGGTTATTAATGCAATTTTTTTGTGGGTTTCTGGTTGTGAAGAGGGTTTCTGGTTGTCAATGGGTTTTTCGTTTGCTAACCGTTTATGTTCAATACTGTTTGGGTCTTCTGGTTCTTCCGCCACCAGATGAAGAGGGCGACCGCTAGAACGAGAAAGGAGGAACCGAGGCCAACCCCAATTGCAACGGCTAGTTTCTGGGCCTTGCTTTTCCCTGAAAATGGTAGAGCAGAGCTAGCTTGTCAGATTGACAGAAGCGAGAAAGAAAAGAGAGGAAAAGAGAGAGTAAGGGACAGATACCGTTTGCTGAATCTATGGAGGAGAGTGGAATAGGAGTGGGTTTTCCAGAGCAACCCTCGGTGGTCGGGCTTCCACAAATGAGCGGGTTTCCCACAACACTGGAAGATAAAACAAAAATGGAAGAGGAAAAGTGAGAAACCAGAGCAGTAATGGAGGAAATTAAAGACGGCAAGAGTTGCAGAGAGGACTTTACTTGAATGTTCTGGCGGGAAACTTGGGGACTGGACCACTGAGATTGTTGAAAGACAGGTCTCTGAGTCGTCGTAAAACGAGAAGAGGTGACAACCTTTGATCAGTTTTTGTTTGAAAGAAGCGTTTTCTTGTGCAGAAAGTGAAAAGAAACTGTCCAAGTTTTTTTTTTTTTTTTTTTTTTTTCCTTCTAATTTCAAGATCAAGATATTGAAACGATAGCAAAAGGGAACTAATACTCACATGAAAGCAAGCTGAGGGATTTTCGCTAAAGACACCGGGAAAGCTCCAGATAAGCTGTTATTATTCAGCCTCCTACTCATTTAGATATAAAAGAAACAAAGAACAGATGAGTTGCAGAGGACCAATTAAGAAAAGAAAGAAGCTCAGATTCACAGAAAAAGGATTCGTTGACTTCTCCATAAAAAAACTCACATGTATTGAAGACCGTTGAGTTGGCCCAGAGACTCGGGAACGTTGCCGGAGAACCGATTATTAGAAAGATCCAATGTCTGAAGCTTGGCAAGACTTCCGAGCTCCGCCGGAATTTCCCCAGAGATGTTGTTGTTCTGTAATAACCTGCAAATTTCCACCGGAAACCCAAATATGAAAATAAAATCAGAACGGAAAATGATAGGCAGAATAGAACCCCAGATGGGTCCTTACACTTGTCGAAGATTTGTTAGATTCCCAATTCTTCCGGACAGAGTTCCTGACAAATTTTGGCTCGGAGCTCCCCTGCAATGTTCATGAACTTCAGAAGCTAGATTTCCCATCCTTTCCAAAACATTCAAAAAGGAGAGAAGGAAGAAGTGAGAAAGAGAACTTACAGGCCAACAACGAGATTTTCTGGGGAACAAGTAATCATAGCCCAACTACAAGGATCAACGGAGTCCTCATCCCAGTTGTTCAGAACACCATGGGGATCGTTCAGAGCCCTTCTGATACTGATCAGAGCTTCCACTGATAAAAGGAAAAAAAATAAACCATGAGTAAACAGAGAAAACATTAGGTAAGAACAAAGGAACAAAGGAACTCACCTTCGTGGTTTCGAGGCTCATAAGACAAAGAGAAACTTGCAGTGCAGAGAAAGAAGATGATGAGAACGACGACCCTGGAAGCCATAGTTGTTGCAGAGGACTCAAGGACATGTTCTACGAAGACCATGCTCTTTATCTCTCTACACTCTACTTTTGTCTCTGGACAGAAACATAAAACATGAAGAGAGAGAGAGAGAGAGAGAGAGAGAGAGAGAGAGAGGCAGGGAGATCGGACAGATGATACGAGTTGTCAGGGAGAGGCGGAGATCGCAGAATTTGAGAGGGACTGAGGTCGATACTCGATACTGTACTCACTGAACCAACATGCTCCCTCATACTCATTCTCCACGGTTGAGGAGAGGAACGGAAAAGCAAGAAAAAAGAGTTTCTTTATAATTTTTTATATTTAAATTTATTTTTCAAAGTTGTACGTTGAAACCAAAAAGAATGAGGAGATTAAAGTAATGGGTCGGAATTAATTAATTATAAATCACCTTAGTTTTCTGTTTTTTTTTTTTTCAAAATGATTCAGAGGCCCTTATCTCATTCTCATCACTCCATCAAAAAGGTCTTGATTAATTTTACTAAGCCTTCAGAAGTTCTCAAGATTTTGCTTTCTCTTAATAGAAGTAAACAATTGAGTTTGTTGAATGAATTTAACCTTTGGGTTTTAAAAAAAGATAATACAATCAGTTTCATGAAAATGTAATTTTTATGCTAAATTCTAGTTATGATGAAGCTCAAGTCCCATATGAGTAGGAATAGTGCAAAACTCCATGACCCATAAAAGTTTGAGTTATTATTTTGTTAAGAAATAATAACCCATGACGCATAAGAAGGCCCAACTCGACCAAACCGATCAATCCGGACCGACCCAACCTGAATTGGCCGGATTTTCATCAGTACCAGTTGGTTTCGGGTTGTACAAATTCATAATTCGATGGTTCGGGTCGGTTTCGGTTTTTTTGTGTGAAAATTCAAACCGACTCGAACCGAACCGACTTAGTTCTTACTTAACTAAAAACTGAAATATCTGAAAATATATATTCCAATATCTATATCTAAAAAATATATATTATAAAATATATCAGATATATATTTCCAGAAAATATATATTTCAATATATTTGTATGTATATTTTTGTTTATATATATATTTGTAAAATACATATTTCAGTTTTAAATATATTTCCAGAAAACTAGGTGGCCATGGGGGGCATGGATGAACTTAGAGCCGAAACCGACCCAAACCGACCCAACCCGACTCAAACCGACCAGGTCGGTTTTGCTTAACACTGGGTCGGTTTCGGTTTCCATCTCAGGTAACCCGACTAGGTCGGGTCGGTTGGAAAAACCTCAGTAAATCGACCCAACCTGACCCGTGAACAACCCTATTCATTGAGTATTTAATAACAATATCAATTTAACTAGAATTTTTTAGAAATTTTCAATGGTTTACATAAAATTGGCATCACTTTGAGGAAAATGGTTTTCCCTTAATCAACTTTTCATCATCTAATACAATAATTCATTTTTAATATAGCAAAGAAGAGAAAATTCCTCATTTATCAGAATAATTTAGGCCCCGTTTTGTGCATCTTTCTGCACCTGTTGTCACTTGTTTAGAAGCCCAACAATCCACATTTTCGTCTTTTCTCATTTGGTCAGGGGAAGATCTAGCCAATAAAAGACTCCGCCCCAAAAAGACGTAAGAAGCTTGATTCAAGTTTATTTCGAGAAACTAGAAATAAAACTTCTCACCTTTTTTTCGTCTCATTTTCTTGTAGAAAGACACACTCCAACCAAATGGTCTATGAACTACCAAGATCTTTATGTAAAAACCCACTAAGAAAAAAATTGCCAAACAGCACCTTAGTGAAAATAAAATACCATTCTCACTAAGAAAAGAATGAGAAAAAGGTAGAGAAAATTTGGCTTCACAATTAGGGATGATATTTCCATCAAGTTTTACCTAAACATCTCAAACCTGATTCTTTGAAAGTTCATTAAGCTGAAAATATGAGCTACTTGGGACATTGAATTTGTAGTGGTTTTGTGAGCTGATATTTCACCAAGCCTCATTTCCATTAAATTGAAGTATGAGCTATTATGGTCGAACTACTTTGCCCAACCTCTTCCCCTCTCCATACAAAGAGGGACTCCCCTTTTTCACATGACTGGACACAACCATGACTGTACAATAAATATGAACAATAAGTAGTTCTTACTTAAAACATGGCATGCCAAATTAAAGCATAAATCAAATAAAAACAAGGATGAGAACTCTGAAGTTGGAGATCTGTCTCATGACTAGACAAAATCAAGATAACCTGGTAAGATTTTTCTAATATGACATGTCAAAATAAAACCTTAAATAGAGAAACAGACAAATATGAATAATCCAAGGTACAAGAGAGCATAAAGCTCCAAAAAAAAATTAAAAGAATAAAAATTTATTATAAACCAACCATGTTAAAGTTGGAAAGAACCTGCAAAATTGTTGGCATTGGCCAGCATATGAAGTCCAGTACAATTGGAATCAAAGAAAGAGAAAAAGCTCAAGAGATTACAGTCACTGCTTTTTCAATTTAAGAAGACACTCCTTCAAAATCAAAGCAACACTAGGGTAACCCCCCAAGGTGTTTCTTTAAAGGTTGTCTTTATTCCAGTATTCCTAAATGGAGGGGTGTGAGGCCCGGCCTTTTTAGTATTTTTAGAAAAAAAAATTATACTAGTAAACTATGTTTGTTTCCATATAAGAAGGGTTGGGAAATAAATTAGCCATGAGAAAGGCCTTAGAAAATATTAACTTGGTTGTGTGAATAAGTTGCATATGAAGGCAATGCTTTAAAAACCAACCTGGAACCGGAATTGCTTTGGCCATTAGTTTTTGGGTCAGTGGTTTGACCATTCAGTTTTAACAAACAATCTATTGCAATTTTAAAAAATAAAAAATAATAATAATTGAAATAAAAAAATAGTCAAAACAGTGTTTTAAGTCGAACGGGTTAATGGTTTGACTGCCCTAGGTCAATGAATCGCTGACTAAAGTCAACAATTTTTGGCAAGATTCCAATACCCTACTAAATTTTCCAAAACTTATTCTGAGATTTTACCAGGCAAAGTATGAACTTGGCCGTGTGAATAAGTTGCACATGAAGGCAATGCTTTCAAAACCAACTTGGAACTTGAACCGCTTTGGCCACCAGTTTTCAGGTCAGTGGTTCAACCATCCAGTTTGAACAAACCATTGCAATTATAAAAAATAAAAAATAATAGTAATTAAAATAAAAATAACCAAAAACTGTTTTCTAGGTCGAATAGGTTGATGGTTTGACTGCCTTAGGTCAGCGAGTCGCTGACTAAGTCAACAACTTTTGGCAAGATTCCAATTTAAGGGTAAAACAGAACCGGTTAACTGGACAGTTTTCAAGCCAAACGATCCAATCATCCCGGTCAATATGATGATTCCAAAACCATGCATGGAGACTTGAGTTGATTCCTATATATATTTGGACAATTCACCAAGATAAAAGATCAGTAAGTATGAGACCTGTATAAAATAGAGTAAGAAATCACTTGAATAGGGAGTTGGGTCTATATCTAATATACATTACACCAAAGGGATCCATTGAGAAATAGACCTATCGTAGAGAAAATGCTTTTAACACATACTCGAGAGAGAGCAATATTGGTTTGAACTTAGGCTGTTGATTTTGAGTTGTTTAACCAATTAGATCAAATTAGATGGTTACTAAAAGACATAATTTTTAATTAATGCATTAAGACTGTGTTTGGTTGCAGTGCAATTTTATTTGCACTAGTACAAATGTCTAGGAGTGTAAATGAAAAAAAATGCAAATCCTGGTTTAATTTTGTTTTGGGTTTTACTTTATTTTGCTTCAAGTCTTACTTTACTTCATTTGTACTGCAATTAAACAAAATAAGGTCAAATTTAAAATAAAAATAAATCATAATTTGCACCAAAATCAATTGCACTACCATAGTTTTGCACAAATGCAAATAAATTCGCATTGCATACCAAACACATTAAGGAACAAAATTGTGGAAATGACGATTGATTAGGGTGTTCACGTTTGGTCTGGTCTGATTTGGAGAAAATTGAAGACTAAGTCAAACAATTTTAGTATAAAAATCAAAGCAGACTAAACCATAATAAAACGGTTTGGTCCAATTTCTAACATGGTTTGTCCCGTTTTTTTGGGTTTAATTTGATCTGTCAATTGAATTTGGAAATTTTCCCAAATCGAACCTGACCGTTCTTGAGTCCAAAATAAACTGCCAATTGTAGTTTGGTTGTGTCTGGTTTGGCAGTTTGAATCATATAATGAATACTACTAGAAAGTTGGAATCGTTGAAGGACTCAATGCCCTTCCAAGATTGATTAGGCAGTATGTATGTTTGTATGCATGCAATGCTTTTGAACTGTCGTTAATCCAGATGGTTGTTGGTCCATTTGACCCAGGAACCATTCAGGCAATCGGTCCTATTTCGTCTTTAACCCATCCTTTGGACAAAAATTGTTGATTTGGTCAATAACCCACTGACCCAGGTGGTCAAACTGTTGACTCGTTCGACCTGAACAATAGTTTTTTGCCATTTTTATTTTTATTTTTAAATTGGATAGGACAATTGAACTGGTGACCCGAAAATCAGTGGCAAAAGAGGTTCTAATTCCGAATGGGTTTTTAAAACATTGTATGTATGTATATATATGAACCTCTCAAAATGAATCAGCCCATTAGTGCTTGGTATAAATTTAACTACAATAGCATTTACAGAAAAAATTATGTCAAATTTCAGATCAGAAATTAGGGATACTTCTCGTACACTCCCTGGCAACAGATTTGAAAATTGAAATCTATAAAGTGGACTTTGTTTCTAAGGCTGTGTTTGGAAACAGTGCAAATAAGCGTGAATGCAAATATGTAGAGTGTAAAAAGCGGTAAATTGCAAAATTGGGTTAGTTTTACACTAACAAATTTACCATTTTACCAAACAGACTTTTAGCTGTTATGGATGCAAACATGAATTCCAAGAAAGCATATGTTTTTTTTTTTTTTTTATCAAAAACCCACTTGAATGCAAATTTACTTCTTTTTTATTGATATACTTTTGCATCTTATTATCAATGTAAATATGCATTGGTCTGTCATTTGTCAATGCATAAACTTAGTATTGCCAAAAACAGGCAAAAGTGAAACAAAATGCAAATTTACCCTGAACCGAAATTTACACTCCATTTGCATCCTTTTCAAACCCAGCCTAAAATATTGCAATGGTTCCTGCAGTTTTATGTGAAAAATAAAATATATATTAAAATCCTGACTTGAATTTTTTCAACCTTGAT